ACCCCAGGCCCGGCGAGCCAGAGGCCCCCGGCCGCAGGGCCCGTTTTCCCTCCCTCCCCCACCCACTTCAGGGCCGACATCCGGCCGCCGGGTCCGTTTTCCCCCACCCAACCCCACCCACTCCAGGGCCGGCGACTGGAGGTGCAAGCCTCCGGCCGCCCGGTCCGTTTCCACCCCCCCACTCCAGGACCGGAGACAGGAGGCAGAAGCCTCCGGTCGCCCGCTCCCTTCCCCTCCCCCACCACCCACTCCTGGGCCGGCAACTGGAGGCCGGGTCCCTTCCCCCCCACTCCCTCCAGGGCCAGCAACAGGATGCAGAGGCCTCCGCCGCCGCCGCCGTTCCCCCACCCCCCTCCCACCCTCACCCACTACTGTTTACCTTACCACCATCCAGCCTATGCGTTCGTTACAGACCACATCTTTCTAGATCTCGTTGTCTCGGTTTCACAACGGGCTTTTCTGCTAGTTTGAAAAATAAGGGTCTAAATCCTTAAAAACAACCCTGCCATGGTATCTCCTGGTCACTGAGAGGCAGGGCAGGGATTCTTCCCAAGGTAGGTGGTCATTGATACTTCTTAGTTTAGGCCTGCTCAGCCCTAGACATACAGCAAAATGATAGAATCTTGAGACGGTAGAATGATGTGTACCTCTTCACACTGTAAGTGGGAGAATCATAATGAATGCTTCATTGTATAAGCATTTTCTGCGAATAAACATTATTAAAAGTTTTAGGGGACAATTTCTGTAGAGAAACTTTGCAAATCTAATCTCTCACCAGAAGTGGTATGGTCCACTGTGCCATCCCAGCACTCTGCCATTTCATTTTGCTGCAACTGAAGACCAGACTTCATCTATAACAGTGGTCAGTTCAGTGGACTGGCTCACAGAGGACATTTTCTTACCCTTCTTATACTAACTTTGGGCTTTAAAAAAACCTATATAGAAATTATTTTGTGATCTGTTCTGGATCTTATATGGCACATTACTGTTCATAAAAATAAACAGGTCTTTCTTCCATTCATTACATAAATAGTTCCTATTCAAACCAATGCAGCACACTGTAAAGTTTTTGAATGTTTATCTTTTACTGGATTTTGACATTTTTGTTTTCTGACAGTTTTTTAATAGCAAAATGTTGCCTTTCTCAGGAGTTCTTCAGCTGATGATGCAAAATGTAGTTAAGTATTTTAGGTGTATATGTATATTAATAAACACTAAAAAACTAAGCAAGCAAAAATGTGGTAAAAATTCACACAAAGAGAAAAACTTGTAATGGAAGTAAATTTAAATGTGCATGTTGATGTCTGCAGTTAGTGAGTGGGGAAAAAATCCTACCACCATGTAATTTTCCTGACAAATCACTTGAACAGTTCAATTTAAATTAGACATTGCATATTAACCTGTGAAGTATTAAATCTGAAATTCTTATTTAGTTTACTTAGGCTTAGCTCCAGTGCATTCTCTTTCACAGGACATGGGTATGTAATGAGAACTACCTTGAGTTTCTATAAGGTAGAAATGCAGCTAATAAATATTTTAAATAAATAAAATAAATCAAGAACTGATCACTCCTGGCAACTGGCAGGGGGTGGGGGGAATTTACCAGAAGCAGGATGGAAGCCCATGCTATGTTGCTAGCAATGTGGTGACATCACTTCTGGTTTGTACCAGAAGTGATGTCATCACAATGTGACATCATGGTAATGCTCTGGTATTTGGGCAAAAACTCTGTGATAAAAATGATTTCTACCATAGAGTTTTCACCAGAATACCAGAGCATCACCATGACATTCCCATCATGATGATGTCACTTCTGGTACATACCAGAAGTGACATTGACATGTAGCCGGCAACATCACTTAGGCCTCCTTTCTGCTCTGGGCTAGTCCCCCCTCTGGCCAGCTAACTGGGGGTGGGGCCTGAGGGTGGGAATCCCCCACCTCCAGTA